AATTTTTGTTTCATGTCGTAGCTTTGTCCAAAATGTTACCAGCTTAAGTAAACGAATGAAGCTTTCATTTAAAAAATTTTATCTTTAACAAATGACGGAAAGGAATAAGAATTTTTTCAATGACACAAAAAATTTAAAAATTACTTTAACAGCGTGATTCAAGCAAGTAGATTTTATTATTATTTTTCTTTTTTAACAATAAAATGTTTCGTTAGAGAATAAACTCTTTAAATAGAGAATTTTTAAATCTTTATTCAAAAGTTATAATTTGATAATTGAATACACTTAATTTCATGAACTGAGTTTATAAAGAAACTATTTTTTTTTTTATAAAATAATTTTTTTTCTTTAGTATAGGTTTAAGGAAGTACGAGCGTAACTAATGAGTCAAAATAATGTTAAAATTTTTTTTTTAATTTTAATCTTCCCAATATTCGTCAAAATTCTTTATTTTAATTTAAAATAATTTGAACAATTTAATAATTGATGATTTTTACTTATTTAATAAAATAAAGTAATAAAATGACTTTGGTATTTATTACTTGCCGGAGTAAATAAACAGATTTGGCAATAGCGCGCTTGATTATACCTATAACAGAGACATGGATGAGTGTGTGAGTTTAATATTTCTCTCTCTGTAACTATATTTCTATCCTTTTCTTATTTTTCAGCTGTTGACGCGATGTTGTAAAATCTTTATTCGAATAAATGGCTGACGACAGACGAGTTACAAACATAAAATTTAACTTTAAATATTTAAAAAATTATATTGTAATGTATTATTATTCAATTGTTTTTATATTTTGCAATAATCCAAGTTTCTTGTATATAGTTTTTTATTCGTTAAAGTTGGAAGGTTAATATTGAAAAAAATCTTAAAAGTCTCGACAAAAGTTTGTCCGCCATAAGAGCCCGTGTATAAGGAGATAAAAAGTGTGATTTTTAAAATTTAATATTTAAGTAACTAAATAGTGAATCTTTTTAAAATTATGGGATTAAATAAATGATGTATTTATTTATACGTATATTTAATTTCAAAGCTCAAAGTTGGAAATTATTTTTTACATTAGATTCGCTCGTACTTCCTTAAAGTTTTATAAATAAAATTATCCGTAAAGATTGACATTTATCTATTGACTTTCTGGTAAGATGATAGTTGACACAGACTCAGATACTCTTATATTAGTCTAACGATACTCACCAAAGTCTTGAGTAAGTTTATTTTTATATATTTTTTCCCTTCATATTTTATCACAATCACTCTCAGAGTCAGTTGGTAGGATGATATTATATAGACGTATAAATAGAAAAACAGCTCTTCCGTTAAAAGCGTAAAAAACTTTTGGAGATAGTGTACGGTAAAATCGTGGTAGCCTAGTCTTTTTTTTTTTTTCTTATAAAATAAAATAGTAAGAAAAAAGAAAAGCAAATATAAACCCAAGGGGATATTTTACAAGTATATCCATTGTGACTTATCGACTTGAGTAAAATGACGTTGAGGTGATCGTACGACCTTAAACCACACCCAATGGATCTTGGTATACGGTAAATGGAGTTGATCCATTTCCGATATCCAAGCGGTAGTATATACCTCACCCTACACCTGCTATGTAGTTCTATGAAGCAACTCTGAAAGCTCCTGGTATGCTATGGTGTAGTAGTTTAATAGCTGGGTCATTACGAAATGTGCAGTTGGTTTAAATGTAGAGTAGAGATGCTATATTTAATATGCTCGTGATCCCTTTTACTTTAATGATAGTTATCGATCCATCTTTTAAAGTCTGATAAACATTATCATTTTGACATTTACAAAGGCTACTACAATTGTATAGAGATTTTTTTTATTTTTTTATTTACTTATTATAAAGATTAATCGAAATAAGTTATAATTATCATAATTAAAAATATAACAATAATAATAATCATACTTGAACCAAATAAATATTATTATATATTATTATTATTAATATCAATATTTATTCAATATATCATGTTAAAGTAATAATCACACAAAATTGTTTAGATTAAATTAATTCCGTAATCCCTACCGTTTATGTATGTATATTTTGTATAAATATGTATACACATACATTAAATACCTTTGCATTTTTCGTTTTTAATTATTATGAATATTATTATTATTATTATTATTGTTATTAATAATATTATTATCATTATTATTAAAATCCACTGTCACGTTTTTTTCATTTCAACATCGAATATATTTATATTTATATATTTATATGTATATATTCATATTTATAATATTTATATTTTTATTTATACTAAAATTTATACCTCTCACGCATTCTATATAATAAATTTATAAATCGCAATGATTACAAAGATTAATTATAATGTTATATTGTTATAATCGGTTTATTTGGGTTTGTTTGTATATGAATTGTATAGATTGTCACATTACAGTAAATTCCCAAAAAACCCGACGTTTTATAAAATCATTCAAAATAATTTCATCTAGTTTACAATAAATTATTAAATATCTATTCACAAAAGTAAAGTATCTAATATTATTAATTGATAAATATACTTTTCACAACATTCTTTATTATTTTACTTTATTTTTCGATAGTGGATATCAGTCACACGTTATACTGTAGATTATTTAGAAATTTTTAGATTCCAGTAAATAAAATGCATTGAAATTTCGATTAAATGTTTTTACAAAAGTTTTTTTTATCGTCAATGAGTATTTGAATGTAATTGTTTATTACTTTACAATCTAATTTATCTTAAGAATAATGAACAGTTTACATTTAATCAATCATTTGTTTGAGTTATTAGATATTTTAGCAGTGATTCTGTTTTTTTTGTGACTAATATCTATAGATAAAAGGTATAAATAAATTAATCAAATTTATAAATTGATTTAAAAAGCACAATATATGAGTAGATATTCAATTAATTATAATTGATAGTAAATGTATTAAGTAAATTCTGGCCATGAAATGCTTTAAAGTTGTTACCGTTATTAGTTTGAATAATTAATAGTAAAAATTAACAATAGAAAATGATAATAGTAATTATTTTTTGTCATGCAACGAAAATTTTAAATAAATTGTGACATTTTTTTAGAAATATTTCGATTCGTAGTACTAATACAATAATAATAAATAATTTATCAAATAATATTTAGATTATTTTTTACTACTTTTTACTCTTTCAAGATATAACTTTCACTCAATACAATTTGTATGTACACAGCTAAATTATTATTATTATTATTATTATTATTATTATTATTATTATTAAATACACATTCTACTAAATTTCATCACTCAAATCATTAAATATTAATTAACTTTTTCTTTTCTTCATGATTTATTTAATATCTATAACGATTGATTCAATTATGCAGAGTTCATTGAAGACTTTTTATAATTTAGTAATTAATTTTTTATAATTATAATACAAAAAACGTGCTCATACTACACGAGTTATAATTGTGTATGTGTCTAATGTTTACTGTTGAATTTTATTAACTTTTTCTCTTGTCTTATTATTCTTGGACATTTTTTGTTTTATTATTTTTTAAGGATATACAATAATAGAGACTATCAGTTCATTATCGTATAAGTGTATTTTATTTCCCAACTTTTTTTCAATTGTTTGCATTTTATTATTCTAGAGTTAGCAATAATTATTGAGAATAAACGAAGAAAAAAAATCAAGTTATCTATATATACATGTGCATTTAATTATTCGTTAATATTTATAATTCATAATATTTTTGCTTCGAAAATTACGAGCAACGTCCAAAGACTTTGCTTTTGATACGCGAAGGAACACTTGCGTGAGACAAATTTTGTAGTTGAGCTACATGTCATTTAATTAAAGAGATGAGTGATTCAAAGATGGTAATAGTAATAGCTTTTTCTGGTTTATATATATATATTTTTTTTTTATTTTTTTTTTTTTTTTTTTTTTTTTTTTTTTATTTAAACACATATTGAGCTTCCATCGAATATGAAGTACTAATAAAATCTACTGTACTTTGTTTTTAAAAACCATACATCATACAAACTAATTAAGTCTATTGACGTGTCTTGATATAAATTCATCTAATAACTATTATTAAGAATGAAATATTTCTATTAGGTAGAAATAAAATTTAAAAAAAACCAATCATTAAAAAAAGTTTGATTACACTAAAGCGACATGTTTGATATGAAAGCATAAGACATATACAGCGGATTATTTTTTTTTGTTTTTGGATCATTATAGCTTGAGATAGCATTTATTAATAAATCCAGGCCTCATCATGAAATCAGTCTTGATGGCTCTGGTGTCAGTCTAGGACGATTTATTAACTCATTCGTTGCTGCACACCGCTATATAACTTAGGCCACGTATTTTATTTTCATTTTTATTTATATTTTTATTTACCTTTGCGTTTACTTTATTACCTTTTTTGATAAAGGGTAAAAATAGTTCAAGCAATTACGAGTAGTTATAATTATGCGCAAAGCATAAACTTCGTATTTCTATCTTTATAATTTTATAGTTTAAATATTTACAATAATTATCTCAAGTTTTACTTAATATACTTATGTTAATTGATTATTTTTTTTCAACGCTCGTATTTGTTATTAATTACAATGTCATAGTATTTCTTCAGTTAAGGTATTCCAATAAATATGTTCTTATCTCTATTTATTTTAAAAAAACTTAATGTAAATATTTAATTTTAAGTCGTAAAAATTTATTTTATAAAAAAAATTTAATTGCGTAATTTGTTAATAATGTTAATATAAAGTTTTATAAAAAAATAATGGTAATAATATTAATTATTGTGAATATTTATTGGAATACCTTAATATATTTAAATGAATATGATTTAACATGTCACAGAATCCATACTTTAATACATAATAATATGTAATACTCCGGGAAGATCTTGTCTTTCAACTGTTTACAAACTAGTCTGCGAAAATGATGAGACCACTACCGGATTGTCTAGATTTATTAGATTACACAGATTATAACGTTGTAGGTGCTTGTCGGTAGAGAGGATTTCCTTTAATTGGAAGCATGTGAGCTTCTGAATTGAAGACCCAATCATCTAAGCTTATCAGATTGTCATCACTGAAGAGTAAGTAGAGATACTGAAATCATAAGTAATTAAATTTCAATTAGCAAATTATAAAAATTAAAAATACAACATATTTGATCGATTTAATTTCTAATTTGTACATCATGAAATAAACCAATAGAGTTATTTCCATTTAGAAGTAATCACTCCATTAGTTAAGCGGCTTTCAATCACGTACATTTGAAATTTCAAAAGCTATAAAAGCAAATGATTGCAGCAAGAGAGCTATACTGGAACATCCTTTTCATCGGCTTTAGCTTTTTATTATTATACATAAAAACGACGGATTTTTTAATGGCCATAATTTGATAGTAAGCCCTTTTATTTCAAACTTTTTTCTGCATTTAATAATAAATTATAGCTACAAATTTCAATTTATATTATGATCTTAAAATTATATATTTTAATAATATGTAATAAATGAAAAAAAATTAATAGATTATTTTCTTGCGACTTAATATGAGATATTTTTTTCAAGTGAAAAAGAGTACGCTTGACATCTTCATTCTATTAAAAATTACCAAAAAAAAAAAAAAATAAAAGTAAAAATATGAAAAAAATTGATATTAGAAAAAAAAAGAATATGATAATTTTATAATTTAAAATTTATACTTGTTAAAACATCCATATCAATATGAATTAAATGTTTAACTTGAATACGGCAGAAGAGTAAAGTACTCCTACACGTTAGCGCGTTGATGTGTAGAAAAAGATTGTTGAGTTCTTTAGAGTAAGTATAAATGGATTACCTTGAGTGTTTCGGCAAAGAAGTAACTTTGCTGAACATCATCTTTCGCTGAATCCACTGAATACACATTACTGATTCCTGTGAATCCTCCTGGTACACGACAATGCTTTTCTAAAGCTTCTACCGCTTCCCAACCCCACTCACGGTATTTAGGATCTTTTGTCAATCGCCAGAGAATGAAGTAGGACTCAAAAGTCTAAAGCATTAGATAAAAATTCATACTTTATATACAATCCATTTTAATTTTATTATTATTATTATTATTATTATTATAACAATTTATTTAATTAAAACATAATTCATAGAAAAAGAAAAATAAATGAGTATTATATACCTCTGGTCGTAAAATGTAGTATTTTTCACCATTTTTCAAACATTTAGCTTCTGTTTTATCCGTAAAATGGAATGTTTCGGGGCCGAGTTTAGTAACACTGCGGTCATAAGATTCGTGGCAAGTTCTTGTTAGTTCAGCAGCATAAGCCATGTGATTTCTAGATTCGTCATTATCCATTGCCTTTGCACCAAGAGCAAACATTCCACCTGTTTAAATGAACAATAAATTTAGAGTTGTAAAAAAATTAACATTTTTAAATCTAAGTCTGAATATCTAACTTTAACGTTAAGTTCACGAGCAAGAATCTGAATTATACTTGTAAGCTTTCAAGTTGTTCTGGATCATGTAAGCTCTGGTTAAACATCGTTTAAAACATTTCATGATAATGTTTATGATTATTGTGAATATATTAATGTGACATAATAGACGATGAAGAGAATTAGAATTAGTGCGAAGTTTACGAATACATATCTCAATTACGCTAACAAGTTTTGAAACAATTTAAGAATCTAGTGTTTGTAACTTGTAATTAGTTGTACTCTATAAATTTGTAACTGCAGTTAGAAAATTAATTTTAACGTACTATACATTAAATATTAATATGTCATAACTTGTAATATGAGCAGTGATGTTGATAATTTATTGATAAACTTACCAGCAAAGCAAGCGAGATGACCCATTTTGTGTTCAACTTTGTCGTATTTTAAATCAGAAACATAAGTTAATCCACCAGGTGATTTAAAGATCATATGATCAATTATAGCATTGATAGCTTCTTCATACATTTCACGTGCTTCTGTATCTTCTTTACCGGATTGAATCCAAGCTTTCAATAAATACTCGTAAAAGCTATCACCTAATGCGCCGAGAGATATATGATCTGTTGAAAAAAAATATTAACTTATAAATTTATTTAAAAATTAAAAATAAAAAAAAAATTACAATAATGTAATCCAATGAAATTTTATTAGTGAAGAGAGTGATACATGAGAGATTCACAGATAGTAATATAATAATCACATTTTAGCAATAATCAAAATGGTATTAGCATTAGTATAGTCTCTCAGTGTCTCTTTTAGTTGATTATTGAATTCAAATGAATATAAATCAGAAATCATGAACGTAAAACATAAATCAAAAATGCAAAGCACTAATATTATAAATCTGGTACCACAGTACACTGTGTTTTCAATAATAAAAAAATTCCTAAAATTTGTCAGATGTCAGTTTACTTCAGTATCATAATAATAAAATCAATAAAATTGGTTAATGAATGAAAATTTTATTGGTCAATTTATTGATGAAATTTCGTGTGCATGGATGTTATAATACCCTAGTAATTGTGATAGATGTTACACATTAGAGAGGGATAAGAAAAAATAATCGATGTATGGCCCAGAGGGATGTGTTGATGATAAATGTCTGTGATTTTCAATCGAGTGTAATTTGTAATTTCTATACAATAACGTACAGAGATCCGGTTTTCGATGATATTCCCAGTTATTTTTTGACTCTTTAGAATATCTCGGTAATTGATCATGATCATCTTGTATCACTACTATATCCCAATAACTAACCATATAAATTAAAAATATATTTTTATTTAATTTCTGTACACATTTGATAATAATAATTTATTTAGAATAATAAAACTACAATTCGAAGAATAAATCAATTCATAATATAAAGTTTAAATTTCGCAGAGAAAGAAATTGATTTAATCTTTTATGGAAAATAATTTTCTTTGTCCGTTTATATTTTTCAACTAGTAAATTTATGTAAATTAATTTTTTTTCGTTAATTAAATGACATTAAATTGTAAAATCGAAGAGGATTAAATTAAAGCTTAATTGTATAATGAAATCAGAACTTTTTTGTTGGAATCCGATCCGATAAATAGGATTTTTTTAAACCTTTAATTGGTTTCTATTGCTCTCAGACGATAATCACAGAAACGATAAAAAAAAGTGTTTTATATAAGTGGTTAGAAAATAAAACTGAAAAAAATAAAATAAAATTAGAGTGAGTACTTACGTAATCCCCACTTGCCGGTTCGTGGATGAATGAAATTAGGATATAAGCCTTTGGGTTTTTCAAGACTCCTCAATGTAGATCTCACGTGTTCGACCTTACTCTTGAAAACCGGATTCCCAGTTATGTCACTCAGATATGAAAACTCGAGATGCATAGTACCCAACTCCGAGAGAATACTACAACCACCACTTGCCCAGCCGTAGTTTCTGCTCATCTGAAATTTTATTTTATCGATCATAAATTTATTGTATCATATACATACACTTGTTATTCAATTCAATTCAAATAAATCATATTTCACGTTTGAGTGATTGTAAGTATATAAGATGGATGAATAAATTGGTTTTACTTGGAAGTTGTGAAATTGATGAACGATGAAGAATGTAATGAAAAAAAAAAAAAGATTGTATAAAATGAACAGAAGTGAGAATAAGCATAATCATTTTATAATTCAATCCGGGCAATTAAGACGCCGACGGTAATTTCTCATTGAAGATAAATGAGAAAGAAATCTAATTCTTCCGCGAGCTTCTCATATTTAAATGCCTTTTTATATTATTTTTCATCCATTCAATTCTTACGGTACGCTTATCGTATTGGAAATTCCTCAATATCTTGATAATCTTCTTAGCTTTTTTTTTTCTTTTGCTAAAAATATAATAGCTATTGAAGAATTTTGATTGAATCATTGGTAATTTACTGCAGCTGACTATTAAATCGTTAGTGGCATAGAGATTTAATAAAAAAAGTTAATTGAAAAAAACAAATTAGGAATTCCCAGATGTCGTACTGCAATTAAAACTTCATCTACCCATTAGTTATAATTATAACGAAGCTATTCACACAGCTACAGAATTTATGTAATGAACACAAAACGTTGGATTTAAATACATATTTCCTTTATCATATTCATTATCTTTTTGTTGTAATAAATAGTCTGTTAACATTACTGTTAATCGACGGTAATTCAAGTTATTTTTGTCTTTGTTTAAATCAGATAAGAATGATTTAATTTATTTACGAATTAAAGCAATGTAAGGAAATGAGATTTATTTGCTGATATTTATGATATTGTTTTAAATGTCGCAATTTACAAAATTGTGGACATAATGTATCATCATTTTTTAAGTATATTTTACTTAACGTCATGGTATATAATCTATTATAATGAGTAAGTTTTTACTATTTTTTTTATTTAACTCAAGAAAAATAATTTTAAAGATTTTTAGTGTTTGGCTTTAAAAATATTCCTTGTTGATTTTAATATTTTTGATGAAATGGTTTTTATTTTCAATCGATAGCAGTTATCTCGAAGGTCGTCTCATATTGAATATTCCAATTTCGAATATAAGTTTTAATTACAATATACATAATTATTAATTACCAAATCACAGTAAGCTTAGTTTATGATTTTAACCATTCTTTAAATATGACGTTGTGATTATCAGTTAAATTGGGGACAGATATTTATTTAATTATTTCTTTATTAAAGGTCCAACAGTATGTTGCCAATAGCAGGGCCAATTAATCGATATAATGTTATAGTGTTTCCGATGGATGGTTCTTTATAACAAATTGTTTATTGATTTATGTTTTTAGTTATCATGTTCTATGTTGATGTATTTGTGAATTTTTAAAGTGTGTTAGAAATTCAATAAATAGTCGAAAATTATATGATGGTCTGTTTGTTATTTAATTACGTGTAATAACTTTGTAACAGATATGCAAATATCAATAATGATTTTCATGACGTTTTCAATCATAATTTATGTTCAATTTCTCCAGAATTTAATAATGAAAAAATAACTGATATAAATGTAAACTGTTAATTAAAAATTTAATTAATAATCTGTTATAATTATTTCTTAATTAAGGAACAGATTTTGTTATTAAAATAAAAATGTATGCATTCTGAATTTTGAACTTCTTCATTCAAAAACTCTACTTTAATTATTGAATAGCAATTTTCGGATTGAAGAGAGCACAGAATATTTGAACATAAGAATGCAATTGTAAAGAAAAAATTTTTTTAAACTTAAATAACTTTTCTTGTCTATAAGCGAAGTTATAAACCTAATTTACAAGGAATGTAATAATCACAGTATAATTTACTGATGAAAATGCAGTAATGAAGATAAATTAAATAATGGTCCTGTATATTTACCCCAGTATGAAGGTTGATAAGGGAATGTGGGATTCCAGTTTCAGTCTGAAAAGCCGGTAGCATTCGCTCAGCAAGTTGTACAGCCTTGTCTCGGAACATTACGTCGCCTGTGAGTGCGTAATTTGTCAATAAACTTCCCATGAATCGGATGTTGGCTTCGAATAAAGATATCTCAGAGTTCTGAAAATATAAATAAATAAAAATAATAAATTTAGCAATTTAATCACCAATTAAAATAAACAACGCAAGTAAAATTATTTTATAATAATTATAATTGAAAATACTTGAAATAATTCACTAAAATTTATATGAAGTAGGATATAGCAATTTATTGATAAAATACTTTAATCAGCATATTTTTAATTATTTATGATGATCATTGAATAACTCGAACACAGTATATATAATTTATACTCCAATTAAATGTATAACTGTTGAGTCATTAAAAATGAAGTGAGATATACTTTTTTGATTTAAGCCTACTACGAGTGTACGTTAATATTAAAAAATATGTAATGTACTAATAAAAAATTCGATGAAATAAGAGAGTGATAAAAAAATTTCGTACATACTACACATATAAACATTAATGGGAAGAACATCTTGGTTTTTATTTTAAAAGCTGTCGACGTTAAATCGTACGCTCGTAAAACGAAAGTTTTTTTTTAATTTTTTGTTTTGTGTTCGTGTTCACGTATGACGCCGGGAGCATCGATATTATATATAAACGAATGTTTTATTTGTCGAAGTAGGTTTACTTTTCTCTACCTACTACTACTACCATCGTCATAGTGATCATCACTACCAATATTACCACTACTGTACACCTTCACCTCCTCTCTTTCCACTCAATCTATTTCTCTCAGGTCCAGTAAATATTTTCCAAAGGTGCGGTTTGTTAAAATGTTCGTTATAACAATGTAACCGTCACTTCATCAATACACTCTATATCTCAAGTTCTCTATATACTTCATCATCGTTTTTTCTTCTTTATCTTCATTTTTATTATTATCGTCTTCTCTATACTTTCTGTCGACATACGAGGCTAGATTAAAAGAGTCGAAAAAAATAGTGGATGGTATTGAACGAAGTAGACGTTGTTTGTTTAGTTTATTCGAGGCAATAATGAGGGAGTCTCGACCTCAGTAGTTGATATGTAGGGTGAATTATCGACGTGGCAATTAGCGGATACGCCTTCTCTTGTTCTATTTTACTATTACCATTACTTATTCTCTTTTTTACTTCACTTTACTATTTCTATTTCTTTTCTTCTACCATCCTCTTAGCTAATTAGGAAATTTAAGTTTGCTTGTTAATAATTAACATATATGTATAAGGAAAATTATTTGTGAGGATTACTTATTCTTGTCAACTATTTTGGTGTTGAAATAAGCTGTCGGCATTTTAATCAATTATTTTAGAAATTAAAATAATATAATTATTGATTGGTAATTAAAATATTTCGAGGCTAATAATAATAATAATAATAATAATAATAATAATAATAATAATAATTATTTGGTTGACTAAGTTAATTAATTATTGGAATTTACAAAATTCTAAGCGCTGATTATATTGAATAGAAAAAATTAAAAATCCTAAATTGCATATAGAAAAAAAAATTTACTTGAATTAAGTAAATAATTTTGAAGAACTTCATTTTCTTGGTGTAAGGAGAAAAATTTTTAAACCAAGAAATTTTTCTTGGTTTAAGTAAATTTTGATTACTTCAAGAATTTTTTGTCTTTTTTCAAGGCTGAAACTCTTAATAATTATTTTCTTGGTTTAAAAATTTTCCTTTTGATTCACTTAATTTTTTTTTCAGTGTACTGTTGCGAAATTTTGAGTGACTACTGTGTAAATTTTAAAGAATTTTATTTTTAAAAATACCAAAATTTGTACAGTTTTGACAAATTCGAATTTCAACGCATTCCTTGGATGGAACACTATATATGAAATGCGACATACTAAATTGAAATTGGCTGATTCGTTTCAGTTATCAATGCCGAAAAATTTTCTGAAAAAAATTTTTGTTTTTTACTTATAATAATGGTTGGTTCGATTAATTTTTTAGAATTTTCTCTGAAACTGAAAATTATTGAATTTTTGGTTCAATAATCGGCACATTTTCACAAACAATTTAGTACTGGATAATCAGATATGAATTACAGAAATTTTTTTACAACTTTCAAAGTATTTTCTTCGAAATTAATAAAACATTTAATATAAAAGAAAAAATGTTTATATTTTTGTTTTCTTCTGAGCTATAATCTGAACTCACAGATAAAAAAAAAATTTTTTTTTTTTTTTCAATTCTACTCTGGTATGTATGGATGGTTGGTAAATGTGGATTTATTATTTTCAGTGATACAACGCATATAACTCATAAGGATTAAGGATGTGCATGGATGTGAAGTAAAAGTGCATATATAATTTAGTTTAAAATAAGGCTCATTATCCAGTTTCAGAGGGTCTAATGGTGCACTCTGGTTAAAAGTGTAAGCTTATAGCCATTAGCCCACACTTGGTTATTTAATATCTATCTCTTTATCTTTTTTATACTTGGTGGATATTAATTATCTCACAATTGCCACTCTTAATATTCTCATTTAATTTTTTGCTTTATTATTTAATCCTTAATGCCACTGGGAATTAGTGAATTTTATTTTATTCTATTTTATTTTTAATTCTCTTTGATAAAAAGGTAAAAAAAATTTAATGAAGAACGGAAATACGTACATAAAGAAAAAAAGTACGTGTGCTCACATTAATTAGTTGCCATTTGTAAAAAGAAGTAAAAATTAAAAATAGGGAAAGAGAAATATTCTTTGTGCTTTGTGGAAACCGGAAACTGCCGGTTTCAAGATGGAATCAAGGAAAAGAAGATTGCAAAAGGAACTTTGTTGTAATTGTGCTGAGGTGGTATTATTAACATGAAAAAAATTCTCGGAAAAACATCTAAAGAAACTATAATAAATTAAAAAATAAAAAATCACTTTGAGTAATTAAACATGATTAAAAAAAATGTTTTTTTTTTTATTTTTTTAACATTTTTAAAAATAAGTATGCAGTGTATAATCACTGATTGAAATACTCATTGAAATACTAAAAATGTATTTTTTTAATGATTTCAATTTTAATTTTAATCAATTTGAATACTAACAGGTACCCAATAAAATATAATAATTTAATGGTTTGATGAAGCTTTCAATCCCGGGGTTTAAAGTATAGATTTACATTTTATTAATGGATGAAATCAGTTAAATAATAAAAATTTTCATTATAAGTTGACTTATTAAAATTATTGCTGAAATAATCCGACTGGTCAACCTTATTGGCCAATAACCTTCAATTGAGTATTTCATAAATAAATAAATAAATAAATGAATGTAATTTAAATTTTTACATCCAGTAAATTTTCTCCGGTATCATGACCAGTATAGTTGACCGAGCACCAGTTAGTTGACCGATCGTATTTAGAAGTCATAAAATTATTATTAAACGAGGATCTCAAAATAATTTTTAATTATCCTTGAAGTTATAACATCTATAATTTACAGTTGGGAAAAATATTTAAGTGTTCATAACTCTTAAAATAATTAAAGAACATTACTGACAGTATGATTTTACGTAAATTGTAACTGGATTAATTTGAAAAAACTAAAATATTGTAGTAGTCGTTAAAGATTATACAACAAATTTATTAATGTAATGACGCCAAATTTAATTTATGTAAAAATATAAGCTCAACTCCCCGATGAGATACTGGATTCGTAAAAAGACTATACAGTGCTCTCTTCCTAAGATATTCTAGCTGTGTCAATTTTTCCATTTGTTACTAACAAGAGAAAAAAAGATAACCTGTTATATTTTAGGGAGGGAGCACTGTAGCTTTAATTAATGACCGCATACTTATTAATAAAAATTCTTACCTATAAAAATTAAGAACATCATTTTTAATATATTTTTAATAATAATGAACATAAATTAAATAAATTTTTAACTATCTCCGTAAAGCTTAGTGTAATGAATTAAAAATAAGTTAAAAGAAACAGAAAAAAAAAATTCTTGACTGATTTGAATATAGCGATTTAAAATTCTCATAGAAGAAAAATATTAGGAAGATATAAATCTTTGCTTAGATGTCTTTATCAAATATTACGAAATATAATATTATTGGTTGTAAAAATGGTGGTAATTTATTTTAATAATTGTTGATCCGACGCGGGTCAAAAGGTAAAATAAATGGATAACTAGTTTTATAGAGCTGAGAAGATATAGAAATAAAAGAAATGGTGGAGAGTAGGGAGTAAGAGTAAGATTTAGTGTGGGAAAAGGTATCAAGACGAGGGGTGACTTGGTGATGTAGTGAGTAAAGAGAAAATAGAAGCTCGAAAAATGTTGGATCAAGATAAGCCATATTGCTTCGTTTAGATCAACGGATATATTTTTTTGCGGATTAATTAAGATTACTAAAATAATGTATCTCGGAATTTATATTGTTTGGTTACTATATCTCATTTTACACGAATTATGGGGGATACAGCTCTAGTAGAAATGATATCGAGTTTTTCTCTAGTAGGTAGTCAGTTAGACTCTATGTATGAGCCAGTAACTGACTAGTACCAATCGAATTACCGTCTAATAAATAATAGTTTAATAAAACTAAAAAACACGCTTTATATAGAAAACCAAACTAAAAAATAGAAAATAAATTTTAATAAATTTGAATTAAGAATAATGTAAAAAATTTTAATAAATATAAATTAATAATAGTGTAAATAAGAAAAAAAATGTATTTTATTTAAAAAAAAACGTGGGGTGCATGGTGTCAATAGTTATAAATATTTTATTGACAGATATGAGTAGAAGAATTATCATTTCGATAATATCTTAAAAAGCAATTTCAAAAACAAATCAGTTCTGAACCTCAAAAAACCACGTCGATCGCCACCAGTCTGGTCTGGAAATGTTTTTTTCAGAATTTCTATGAAATTTTCAGTCTGACCAGTTCACGCTCTAAGATTCTTTAAAGAGCTCAAAAAACTGCGTCGAATGCCGCCAACCGCGTTAAGATCGTTTCATTTATTCAAAAGTTACTGCGGTTTGAATATTCAAAAAATAGTGTTTCATTAAACTTCTATCAGACTTTTGAGCTCTAAAAGCTCAAAAGCACAGAA